AATTATTTTTTAAATTATATATATGTTTAAATGTATATATATATATATATATATATATATATATATATATATATATATATATATATATATATATATTTATATTTATATATATATGTATATATTTATATATCTTTATATATATATATATATGTATATATATATATATATATATATATATATATATATATATATATTATTTCCACAAAAAAAAGCATTGCTACAATAGAAATTATTTTTTAAATTATATATATGTTTAAATGTATATATATATATATATATATATATATATATATATATATATATATATATATATATATATATATATATATTTATATTTATATATATATATATATATATATATATATATATATTTATATATCTTTATATATATATATATATATGTATATATATATATATATATATATATATATATATATATATATATATATATATATATATATATATATATTAGGTACGCGCACTGAAATTTTTATATTGATCATATAGTAGAATGTTATATATCATTAGAAAGGCCTTCAATACAGTATTTTAAAGGTGAAAAAATTATTAAAAATTACCAATTCTAAAAAAATTTATAACACTTTTAGTAGCAAATTTTAGATATATGGAATTATTGAAGAAACTGTGGTCAAAATAATTATTTTTTTTCACTTAAATTGTTATAACTTTGTCAATTTTTATCCAAATACCTATATCTTGGTATTACAAGATAGGTGCACTAATGGGCTACAAGTTCATTTTGGTGCCTGGATGTAGGGTGTGTCTTTGAAGCCAGAAGGGGTAATGAAACACCATCTAACCCTTAAGAAACTACAAGTTTTTGTCAGAAATAAGTACTATTTAAATGTAATTGTTATATTTTATACACAAAATATTGCCATAACTTGATTCCAAAACACTGCCAAATAAAATAAGGTGATCTTAGAGTTGGCCATAGTTGTGGTTGTGATGTTATAACACCCTAAATACAATAATCATACTTTCTAATAAATAGTGTAATCTTTATTACAGTAATTAAATAATTTGTTAAAAAGTAAAAATATTTTTTTTTTACTATAAAACATTTATTAGTGATGTACAACACTAACCTTTAGGGGAGGGTGTATGGCGCATATGTTTTTTAATGATAATAATAAATTTTAAAACAAAACAATGATTAGTTTAAGATTAAGGTTTTAATCTTTGCTTACATGGCATGTAAGCAAAGATTAAAACCTTAGTCTTAAACTAATCATTGTTTTGTTTTAAAAGTTATTATTATCATAAAAAAACATATTAACTTACAATTTTGAAGTTTTCTTTTCCATAACTTTTACCATTTTTATTTGAATTTTAATCTAATATTAAAAACTAAAATAATACAATGTAGTAATAATTTTTTTGTTTACAATCCGCTTCCCCCCTATCCTCCAACGTATTTCTTTTACCGATAAAACGAAAACAAAAAAAAAAACGAATTTAGGTACCAAAAATCCTACACTTTTTAAACTATCTGCTCCCAATTTATTTTTGCTGAAATTTGGCATGTGCAAAGAAAATGCATGTAAAAAATTGCCTGAATAACAAAAAAAGCGGACACGACATTCCTTCGACAACAAATTAACGTGAGAACATCAACGAAATTTTCTTGAAAGTTTTCAGCAAAACTATCCATAAAAAAGTTTAGTGATTATACATAAAAGTACTATAAAAATCATGCCTAACCTTTCTTCTTTTCAAATATAACTTTTGTTTATATATGTTTCTAAAAAGAAACACCACAAAAAATGTTTGTCTAACCCTACCTAAAAAAGCAGTATGTTTAATAAAGCACCTTGTGACATGTCTGCTCCTAATTATTTTTCGTTAAAATTTGGCACATAAATAGAAAATGCATGTAAAAAATTGCCTGAATAACAAAAAAAGTGGACACGACATGCCTTCGACTACAAATTCATGTGAAAACATCAACCAAATATTCAGGAGCAAAATAATCTGTTAAAAAGTCTAGTAACCATACATAAAAGTTTTAAAAAGTAAAGATTAGCTTCTCTTCTTTCCAAAAAGTATCTATGTGTATATATATGTTTCTAAAAAGAAACTCCACAAAACTACGTTTACCCCACGCTGCCTTATAAGAAGTGAAAAAAACGAGTCACAAAATTTTAGCACAAAAATCGGTTCCGTAAATCACGATATGCGCGTACCTATATATATTGAGGCATGAATTGATAACAAAGGGAAAGAAATGAAAACATATATTTTGAGAAAATAACTGTACTGTTTTGGAATTACGCAGGATCTTTAACATGTTATGCAACTGTCGTTTTTTGCGCGTGCGCTAAAAAATCTAAACAAAGCGACCCGTCTATAAGTTCACAACAGACAAGAACCCATCAGAGAATTTTGATTTCGAGTTAATCTGATTTATTACATTTTTTTCTATTTTATGAGCTTTATTTTTTTTATTTATAAAAAATTTGTTTGCATACCTAACTTCAATAATATGATTAACTATATGATCATGCAAAGGCGGATTTAAAACCCGTCAAGTGCTGGAAGTGACGGGGTAAAAAAAAAATATATAAATATTGTAATTATGATGTCTAACACGCGCTTAATACTAATTGCCGACATTTATACTTTTGTTATATTTTGTTACAAAATACAATTAGGAAAAAGTTTACAGTGAAAACTAAGTTTTGCAGAGGTTGCAAAAATTGTTTAATAAAAATTGCTAATGTAAACTATACTGCAGGAAATGAGAAAATTATTTTATAAAGTAAATTGTACTTTGCAAGATATGAGAAAATTGGTTTACGCTATTAAAAGTAACAATCTGATCAGATTGCTACTTTTAATAGCGTAAAATTCTTCTTATTGTAATTATTTTTAATGCTATTATTATTTTAAGAGTGCCGGCAAATTTGAATGACTGGTGAGAAGACTCAACAGGTTTTTTTACTTACAACAGAGTGTTAATATAAAAAATATTATTACTGATAAAAAAAATTTTATTCTTCTTCTTATTGTAATTATTTTTAATGTTATTATTATTTTAAGAGTGCCAGCGAATTTGAATGCCTGGTAGGAAGACTCAACAGGTTTTTTTACTTACAGTAGAAAGGCAACATAAAAAATATTTTAGTTGCTAGTAGGGGGAACCGGGAAATTTTTTAAATAGTTTTTAAAAGAGTTTTTTGTCTTTTAGAAATTTTCTTGGCCCACTTATCCTGTTTGGCCTTGGGCAAATGTGGACTGTGGTTACATCCCATCTGCACTGTGGGTAAATTTTATATTTTGGTTATTAATTATCTTAAACGTAAACAAACATAAAATATGACTTGTTAAGTATAACCCGGCCGGCACAAGTTGTACAAGAAGGAAAGATACACAACAGAAGAAAAAAAGGTAGACAAGAAAATTAATTAGAAGGTTATTTATTGCGAGAGAATTTGATAAAATTAAATAGTAGGGAGCTCAATTTATTTGGTATTTAATGGTATATACTAAATTTGAATATAAAATAAATTGAGAATATTGTATGAACTGTCTCAAAATCGTTTGAACTGTATAATATAATTTTTAATGATAAAAAGTACTATAAATAGTTATGTTTTTTAGGTTTTCAACAACAAGTTCATGGCATTCCAAAAAAGTTGTTAAATGGATTCTCAACAACCTCCAGTATCTTTATTTGACATTGAGTGTATAAAATGGAAAAAGAAGTTTATCCTGTTTGAAGAAAATATGAAAATGGATTCATTACTTAAACAAAAAGTAAAATTAGTTAATATGCTGGTATTATTATTTGTATCAAATAATGGTGTTTGCTTATACTTAATTTATTTTATATAGTTATATATGTGTGTGTTAAGGCTCTTAGATACTGGTAGTTTAATGTGACTTTTACTTCTTAGATTGTAAAACTAAAGGGCTTGATTACAAAGATACGATTAAGTATATAATGAAAAGATTTGCCATGCGTGAAATAAAGAGTACCGAAAGTCGAAATAAGTTAGCTTTTGGGTTAACCGAGAATTACAAAACAGTATATGAAATAGTAACGTTTAAGTTCCCGAAAATGACGAAAAATGAGTTTTATCAAGCTATTCAGAATCTACTTAGAAATGCCCCTGCACGAGCAAAAAAGAGAGCTGTATAAAAATGACAGTTGTATACACAATTTGTTTAATGTTTTATTGAATATATAATCTCTTTTATGTTTTGGTAATGAATTATCTTAAACGTATAAAAATAACTCAAATATAATAAACTATAACATTAAATTAGGGCTGGGCAAGTTAACGCGTTATTATCGCGTTAACACATTAATTAATTAACGCCGACAATAATTTTATCGCGCGTTAACGTACTTTTTATTTTGAAAGTCTAAAAAGTGAAAAGTAAACTTTTTAATTTAAATTTAATAGTTCATTAAACTAAAAGGTGACAGGGCTGCACAAAATTCATCAAAACAGACCTGTCAATCTTTAGTTTACAGAACTATTAAATTTAAATTAAAAGATTAATCTCCAGATTTTATTATTGTAAAAAAATATATATTTTTGCCAAGTTTTTATGAAAATTTTTTTTCCACCTATTAGTCTTTACAATGAGTTCATTATGAGTTTCTGCCGCTCGTTTTTTTTTAAGATTCACAAGCTTAACTTTATTTTTCTTTTGTGAAACTGTCTGTCAAAGTTTTCGTTTCTCATTTTATATTTTTTGCTTATTATTGCTTATAATTATTATTATATTAATTTATATTAGCATTAATATATTAAAAAAGTTATTTTGCATTTTGAATTTTTATGTTTATTTATAGTTTTGTTTATTTATTTTGTATTGTTTCAAAATTATGTAATAATCGAATTATAATTTAATTATTTATAATTCGATAATAATCGAATCATAAAAGAATTGAAACTTTCGTGCGTATTTATGTTATTGCTTATGCTCAAACAACAAGCAGTAAGTAAATTGAGAAATATTTAAAAATGGAAAAAGGTACCGAAATTTTAAACGGACACTTTTATTTTAAACATCTTCAACAAGGAGTAGATAGAACTAAAGCTATTTGTAAACACTGCAAAGCGGAATTTTCTTATCATCGGAGTACTTCAAGCTTGAAGTATCACTTAAATGCAATGCACACCGTTGATGCTAACAAATCATCCACCCAAACAAACAGTGGAGGAAACCTTCGGCAGACTACGTTAGATGCAGCACGAGGGAGAACTACAGAGAAACAAAAGAAAGACAAGATAACAAATTCCATTGCAAAGTGGGTAGCTACAAATTGCAGGCCAACTGGTATTGTGGAAGATGTCGGTTTGAAGAATGTTATTCGGATCGCAACGAATGACTGCACGTATGAGCCTCCGCCAAGACGCACCATTGTAAGAAAAATACATGAACTGTATGAAAACGAGAGGACTATAAAGGCAATGGCATTACAACGTGCACAAACTGTTGCCCTCACCGGAGACTACTGGACATTGCTGGGTAACCATAATTATCTCGGAGTAACTGTGCATTACATTGATGAACAATGGAAACTGCATTCACATGCTTTGACAGTAATGAAGACACAAGAAAGACATTTTGCTGAAACGTGCGCAGAACATTTCATTCATGTTGCACAGCAGTGGGACATTTTAAATAAAGTCAATATTGTCGCTGCTGCAAGACATCTGCCTTTTGAACGCGTCCCTTGTGTCGCTCACAGTCTTCAGCGTTCTGTCACAGTATCTTTGCACAACAGCGCGTTTGACAATGCCCTGGCTAAATGCAGAAAGGTGGTGGGCCATTTTAAACACAGTCCAGCAAGTGCTGCAGAATTAGAAAAAAAAACAAATTGAGCTTGGACAAAAGAAGGAGTCGCTTATATAAGACATTCCAACCAGATGGAACTCGACTCTGGACATGATAAAAAGTGTTCGCAGAAACGAACAGCCACTGAGCGATGTCCTCACCACACACAGCACAAAAGTTGCTATGCCAATTCCAGCTGAAATGGACAAATTGCAGAGGTTGGAAAAGCTCCTAGAACCCTGCAGGTATATTTTACATCATATATTTCTTACTGACTGGTTTGATTGCATGTGAGAGAATTGATGTGTCTGTATTTGTGCGTAAGCATGAACATGAGAACACTTTTTGTGTGTATAAGTGAATGCAAAACATTTGAGTGAAATGGGTTTTATTTTTTGCAGGTATGTGACTGAACTTCTGGGTGGAGAAAAGTACGTTTCATGCTCTGTGGTTCTGCCTGCTTTATGCCATCTCTCTCGGGTGATGGAGAGCTCAGATGATGACCCGGCCTATGTAGTCAAATTCAAATCTATGTTCAGAATAGATCTGGAAACACGCAAGGAAAATGCCAACATTGCATATCTAAAGATTGCAACCGCATTGGACCCGAGATTCAAAGACCTCAAGTGTATACCCAGAGTTGAGAGAGGTGAGGTGTGGGTCTCAATCACTAACTTACTCAAGGAACAGAGGGTTATTGCAGATGAACCTGTGGAAGCAGCAACATCAAAGCCATCAAAGAGAAAATTTGCTCTATTGGTTGCTTCATCAGAGTCTGATTCTGAACAAGAAGAAGACTCAATTGAAAACGGTGTGCGTCGGTACAAAGCAGAGCCCACCATCAGTACAGAGGCCTGTCCATTACAGTGGTGGTCCAAACATGCAGGCTCACACAACAGGCTGGCCTCAATTGCACAGAAGTACTTGGCAACACCTGCAACATCTGCTCCTTGTGAAAGATTGTTTTCTCTTGCTGGTCATATTGTACAAAAGAAGAGAGTTTCTTTATCATCTGAAAATGTGAATTACCTTGTTTGTCTTAGTAACTGGCTTGGTGCAGATGAGTAAGTAAAGTTGGAAGAATGGATAAAGTTGTTTAAAGTTTTGACAAACCAAAAGATATGTTTATCTAACTATGAAAAAATAAATTTACGCTATATATATACTACTTGTGGTTTTATTATTAAATTTTTCGTATTTCTGCGATTAATCGCGATTAATCGCAAAAAATCATGCGATTAATCGCGATTAAAATATTTAATCGTTGCCCACCACTATTTTAAATATAATTTAAGTGCCGAATATATTGAGTGAGCGTCTATTAGACGTCTTAGCAAGACGTCTAATAGACGCTCACTCAATATATTCGGCACTTAAAGGTGTTAACTAATAGTATAAAGGTGTTAGCTAATAACATAAAGGTGTTAACTAATAGACATCTCAAAACGTTCTTTAGACGCTCAGGCAAGTTTTCAATCAGACGTCTTAGAGACATCTAATACTAGACCTCTTATAGACGTCTAACACAGTACGTCTTACAGACGTCTATACGAGACGTCTAAAATGTGTTCAAATGTGTTAACAGGTAGACGTCTTAAGACGTACTTGAGACGCTGACTTAAGTTACCGTTAGACGTCTAATAGACGTCTTTGTGCCGGCTGGGGATTCGTTTAAAAATATATATATTTTTTAATTGTAGTGTAAACTGTATTATTTTGCAGGATTTGCAGCAAAGTAATACAGTTTGATTTGATTGGTTGCAAATATACTCCGTTCTAGCAACCAAGTATTTTATCGTGTTGAATGGTTTTTTCAACTTGAATGTGTGAGCATAACTTAACTAAAGATGTTCCAAAATAATTAAAAAACGACAATCTTGTCAATTTAAATGTTTTATGAAACTGAAATGTTTTATAAAATTCTAATTGGATACATTTATTATAACAATAACAAAATAGTTACTAATGAAGATCTTATAAGAGTATTTGTTGATGGCACAATTATTGTGCCACTATTTCTTCTTATTGTAACAATAAGAAGAAGTATATGTGCAAAGTTTGTATCCTGCTATACTTAACAGACAATTAAAATCATTGTAATGCTCTGAGGTAAGTCAGTTTACTTTTTTTTCAAAAAAAATTATCTTATTATCTTAAGAAGCTCTCCACATTAAATGGTAAAGTTTAATTAATAAACAAACTTCACATTACAACTTATCTATTTAATTTTACTGTCAGTTTACTATTATTTTTTTGACAGTTGTTTATTTTGATTGGTTATTTACCGAGTTATTTTTATAATAAATATATTGGTTTATTATGTCCGTTAATATTTCTCTGTAAAGTCTTCTATTTTTCTAATTTTTATTTCAGAATTTTTTTTTATTGTAAAATAATCTTTTGAAAATGTAAATAAATTTTGCGAAACATGTCAAGAATAAGAAAAACACTGTGTAATTTAAATAAATAATTATTTATCTTATAATTTAATACAATAAGTTAATCTGTGTTGATTGTGTAACCAACTTGAAACTAGATATAAAAAATTGTAGGGGTCAGGGATATGATAGAGCCAGTTCTGCCTCTGGGTATATAAATAGTTTTTCTGTTCAGATTCTTATTATAAATCCAAAGCTCTGTATTATTCTGAAATTCCTTTAGTACTTTTACTTTAGTTTTGACAACACGTCTCTTTGATTTTACTTTACCTGTAACTCGCTTATTGCAATCAAAAGACTATTGATGTCTTAGACAATTTGCACCTTATTACAGCTCTTAAAAATAAATTTGTTTCCATCAGAAATGATATAGATAGTTTTCAAAATAGTTGTTACAAAGTATCATGTTGGCTTTTAAGTAAAGTTGATATTTTGGCTTTAAAACCAAGAACCTGAAGTTGTTTAACAATACTTCAAAAGAGCTGTTACTATCTCTCCAATACATCTATATCAACGAGATTTTAACCAGATACTGTAGCTGCATATAAAGGGTTAGCAATTATTCCATTTATTATGATTTCTTTTCATAAAAACCAATTGTGTTGGAGGCAGCAGTTGAAAATGTTCTGTAATTTTTATTTAGATGATTTCCCTTATATCAGTGCGTTGAATAGGGAACTAGTTCTTTGGAAAAAATATTGGGAAAAGATTCTCTGAGACTATTCCTGACAATATATCCTTAACTCTTAAATCAATATTATTTCCTGGATTTAGAAAATATGAAGATAGCTTTAAGGATACTAGAGACTTTTTTTTTCCTATTTTAATGTTTTACGCTTTGTATTGGTGCCGTGACGCTGATTCAAAATTTATCTTCTTTCTTGTTGTTAAGGTTTAACTTGGTTTAACTTTTTAAAAAAAATGTGTAATATAAACATATATTATCTTTTATATGACTATGTATATAAATCTATTTGTATTTGTGTCTTTTTCTTTCTGTTCATAATTTTTCTTTTTCCGATTGTCTGGAATAAAATGTTCATGCTGATGAGCCCTAATATTGGGCGAAACAATTATTTGTTGTTTTATACATTTATTATTGTAATGTGTTAAATCAAAATGGTAAAGAATCTACAGCTCTATACTCTTTTAATAAAAAGCATTTTTTGTTAAAAAAAGTTTCTAAGTAAAACTAAGATATAAGCTTCTCACTACAAAAGGTTACTCTGGATTCTATTCTTTATCTTTATAAATCTCAAATCCGGCCTTGTATGGAATACTGTTGCGATATCTGAGACAGATCTTCCAATGATGCCCTTTCTTTTTTAGACAAAATGCAAAAACGCATTGTAAACATAGTTGGACCAACCTTCAACCATTATCACATTGTCGTAATGTTGCTTCTCTTTCTCTTTCCTACAAATACTATAATGGGCACTGCTCTAAAGAACTAGCGTCTCTTGTGCCATCTACTAAAACTCATTCTTGTGTTGCTCGTCATTCAATCAAGTCTCATCCTTTTTTTGTGAATGTTCACAAGTTCTCCAAAAACTTTTATTCATCTAGTTTTTTTCCTCGATCATTAACTCTTTGGAATTCGCTTCCTTCATCTTGCTTTCCTGATTCATACAATTTGCAATCTTTTAAGTCGTCTGTCAATCGTTATCTTACTCTATAATTTTCATCTTTTCTCTTCCAGTAACTTCAAACTCTAATAAGTGGTTGCTTGCAGCCTTGTTGGAAGCAAAGATGTTGAAAAAAATAAATATTGAGCACTTTGTTTAAAAAAATAAGTAAGTTTAGGAGGCTGTTTCAAAGTAACATGAAATTCGGATAAAGTTGTGTAGTGCAAATTTTATTTCTTAAGCTTGCCTGCTTAAAAAATCATTACACCTGTAAATGATCCAAATCCGCTCTTGCTAAAGCCCTCTCCTTTTTTTTATTTGCTTTGTGACGTAGTTGCATCATTTACAGCCTGGCGTAAGGCTGTAAATGATGCAACTACGCCCTAACTACTGGTACCTAGTTTTTAAAATGTTAGTAGCATTTGGTTACTTTATAAATTGTATTAATTATTATCTAATCTCATTATATTGTAGAAGCGAACTAAAAAATATAAACTAAAATGTTTTATATATATATATATATATATATATATATATATATATATATATATATATATATATATATATATATATATATATATATATATATATATATATATATATATATATATATATAGCGTAAACAAAATATTCGGTTATAAAGTAACTATAAATATAACATAACAAAATAATATATACATACACAATGGGTATTACACATATCACTTTGTAGTAGAGGAAATAAAGTTTAATAAATATTTCCATAATATAAATATTATTGTCAAGTATAAATAATAGAGGATAGTAAAAGATTTTTAAGCTTAATTTTAAAAAAGATGCTAAAATGTAGGTACAAAATCAAAGTTAGGTAAAACAATTTTATTTCAATCGGGTGCACTATATTCAATGCAAAATTGGTTAAAATTTGTTTGACAAAAGGGCTTATATAGAAAATTGGTATTTCTTAGAGAGTATTTATTGCTAGGTTTGGAGATAAATAAATCA